TTATAAGCTAGTCTCTTTTTACGCTTGTGCTCCGGGATGGACAAAAAGAGACACTCCCACTCGTTTGTTCGTGGGGGGGAGGGGGTTCATAATATCATCTTCCATCATAGTCCCTTATAGAACTATTAACAAATGTCAGGTGAAAGTCACCGTTAGCCAGCGCGCATGGCTCTTCGCTAACCGACCTTTTAAATTGGTCTGGTGCCTTCGTTCTCTCCTTCATGGTATCCCAGATGGATCTCTACTTATAGTCCTGGGGTTATATATATCTTAGGATTCTAACTTTACTGGAACTGGCGGCATCAACTCCTGATCATCTACTTCACTTCACGATAGTCACAAGAAGCTATAAGGAGTTCAACTCTAGAGTTATATTGATATAACAGGTTGAACTCTCACTATTTTCTTGCTGTCTATTTAGTATTTAAAAATCCGCTTCAAAAGATTTCGAACCCCCCCAAAGAGCGAGCTCAATCTTTTTCCCCATGGGCTCTACTTTCTTACATTCGGTTTCTTATGAAGAGATCTATATTGGGATAAAGCACGTCACTAAGGCAAGTAGATTTCACCTAATTCAATTGTATATATCCAATGGACCGGTTCCTTGTTGCTTTGCATCGATTTCTCGGTGCAGCGAATACCAGTTTATTCGATATAGGTAGTATGGCTTCATCACGGCCCGAAAAGCCTGTCTCTGGCATTACCTGAGCAACCGGAAGACCAGTACGAGGGTTACATCTGTACGGCCTGTATAGATAACTTAATCAGGTACCCGTTCGGCATCAGATACCGAGACAAAGTCGTACCTTTTTCTCATGTCTTTCCAAGCTAAGACACGTTGCTAAACACCCCCTTTCGGCCTTATCGACTTTATATTTTCCCGTTGTCGAAATGTCATTCCAGTTCGAGTGGTAACGTTGTCTGAGACCTCAAACTATGTTTCATCACTTCGCTACCGACAGACTGGGGATCGATATCCCCACAATCGTGGCTGAACCATAACTGAGCACAGCGTTTCACCCCCCCTTTTTGCTAAAACATAGACAGCTTGTTTCACGCCTATGTCTACAAAGTAGAACAAAACGGGTCTATCTCGGGCCAAGCATTATCGATCGACCGATCCAAAAGCACCTAGTTATGCTCCTCTCCTCCCTCAGTAACGCTCAATACCATAGCGCTATACCCGACCTCGGCGCCCTTCCCAGCCTCCTCGACGAACCTCCTCACAGCGTCGAGCGCTCTCTCCGAGAGCATGTCCTCACCCTCGCTGAGCACGCAACCGAGATCAACGGGCCCCTTGCGGCAGCCCTCGAGCTGGTACAGGCGGCCGCTCGCACGTGACTTGACGAACGTCATGTAGGCGGCGGGGGGCTCGATGGTGCTGTCCGCGGGCGGCGCCGTGCTGCCGCGCGAGGCGATTGATGCGTGCGCGGCCGCGAGCTCCGCGTCAGCTTCTAGCACCACGGTGCGCCCCACGCGGTCGAGGGGCGCGCACTGCGCGATGAGGCGGCCGATGTGCGTGGCGGGGTCTAAAGGGGGGTCGTCAGCATGAAATCGATAAGAATGCCTTGCTGAGATCTACCGCATAGACGACATGCAACTGTGTATTATGAAAAAAGTTTACACCAAGTCTTCTCATGAATACCGCTGGCGAAGCTACAACCCCTTATTCGGAGATCCTCCGACATAGCAATGGACGGGAATAGAACTCACCCACGAACTCCCTAGCATCCCCGTTGCTGACAGCATGTAGCGTGGCGTAGAGCCCACAGGCATTTACGATGGTCTGTTGATAGAACATGGCATCTTCTTCGTCGCCCTTCTTGTCATGCGCGGGCACGTCCTTCTCCTCCTCGGCGAGGCGCACGGTGTACCCGTCCGGGGCCGGGATGACGACGACGAGCGCCAGCGCGGGCCGCGGCACGAAGGCCAGTAGCTCCGTGTCGGACGGCGCGAGCGTGAGCAAGTCGTGGAATGCCAGGCGCTTCGGCATGCCGAGCCTGTGGATTAGCTCGGTGAAGAGCTCTGGGTCGGACTCCAGCGGGATGAAGTACTTTTTGCCCGCCGCCATTTTTCTTTTCCTCTTTTTTTGGCCCGCTGCGAGTGAGGGATGGTCGTTGAGTTTCAAGACGTGAGTGAGCCGTAGTGGGAAAGAGAAGGTTGTAGATGTTATCCTTCTCTCCTTATTCCTTGCTGCGGGATGCTGAGGTCCGTTCTTTAGGTTGACACTGCAAAATGAAGATGTGGCATGTGAAAAAAAAGGTTCAGTATTATACGATTTCAATCATCTTTGAAAGGTCGTAAAATGAACTCCATTATAACGGAAGTGAATAAGTATTGAGTTGAGGGGGAATGAGGTAGGTGTGTTTGGCAGGCATTGGGGAAGCAAGGTGCTGACGCAGTTTGCCGGGTGCCTGCGGTTGATTTATGTACCTAAGCTAGGTACCTACCTACCTAGGTAGGTAGTCATGCACTGTGTAGCCGTCCATTGGAACCTATCATATGTAGTTAGTTGATTGATATCAATGCTCTGGATTTAAAAGGCATATATCTACAGATAAATAAACGGGTATGATACAACCCCGGCCCATTTTCAGGGTACTGAGGTCGTACTTGAATATATACATACATGGACAGATGAGCTCCGCCGTTTTAGTCTAAAGTTCTAACATCATACCCACTCCTTGGGGTTTTTAAGAACATCAACGAGCCGCTGCTCGCGGCTTCGCGGGTCTGGTTCGTACATGTACCGCCATGAAGCTGTTAAAGGCAGGCTCATGAGGATGCTCTCGACTCTTGAGCCGGGAACATTTAGGCCGAAGGAAGTACCACGGTCGTGCACGAGGTTAAACTCGACGTATCGCCCTCTACGCACTTGTTGCCACTCCTTCTCCTTCTCGGTAAATGGCATGTCTTTCCTCTTTTCGATGATGGGAAGATATGACGGCAGGAAGCTCTTTAGGCAATCCTGGATGAAGGCAAACGTATTTTCGGAATCAGCGACAGTATCATCCAAGTCGTCGAAGAATATGCCACCGATGCCGCGCGATTCTCCGCGGTGCTTATTTGAAAAGTATTCGTCACACCACTTCTTGAAGCGAGGATAGTAGTCCTTGTCGTGCTTGTCGCAGGCCTCCTTTAGCGTCTTGTGAAAGTGTACTGCGTCCTCGTCGAATAGATAGCTTGGTGTTAGATCGCTCCCTCCGCCAAACCACCAGGCTTGTGATGTTCCATCCGGCCGCATCGTCTCAAAATACCTATAGTTGAGGTGCACGGTAGGGGCCATGGGGTTTCGGGGGTGGAGGACTAGGCTGAGGCCGAGGGCGTAAAAGTCGAGATTGTCGACGTCAGCGGCTACGCTCTTGTGGTTTTCCCTCATCTTCGAAATCGCCTGCTTGGGCAGGGTTCCGTACACAACGCTGATGTTCACACCAGCCTTTTCAAAGACTTTGCCTTCCTGGAGCACGCAGGACAAGCCGCCGCCGCCGTTCGGGCGTGTCCACGTGTCCTCTCGGAAGCTCATGCCGTCGACATCCTCGAGCGCAGTCACTATCACCTTTTGCTGCTCGCGTATGAACTTTTCCATGCGCAGGCGCATTGGCGACTCGTTGGTGATGTCCTGCTCACGCTTGGTGCGTTCGTCGAGTTCGGCGAGAGAGCGCGCATCGAATTTGGCGGGTTTCTGAGTCGCCTAAGAGATCAAATTAGGTCAATTGGTTGCGCACCGAGGCAATTGGGGTCCATGGGGCATTCTACCATGGTGTAGGCTCCTGATATGCAAAATGCCCCTATGGCAGCTATTATGAGGCTCTGGGCTCGACGCGAGGTTTGACTGTTTGGTTGGGACACGAATGGGCGTCGCAGGGATGGCGAAGTCTGTGATAACCGTGGCCGCGTTAAGGCAAGCCGGCATATTTGTCTCCTGGCCATGTCTGGAAACTGGGAGGGGAGATTTTATGATTTTATGATTTTATATACAAAACTGGACTAGAGGAATTGCAAGATCGAAAGATCTCTCGCTAATCGTCAGATTGAAGATCGTAAGATATATGAGGCGAGGAGGAACCTTGCGAAGCTCGCCGAAGCTGGACGAGCGAAAGCCGGACTTGCAGGGGTGTCCCCACTTCAGATTGCCTACCAATTAGCTTCGCCAGCTACCTTACTCTGTACTACAGTACATAGTAAATACTACGTATATATAAAAGGTTCAAGTTGAAGTAGACAGGTTAGGCAAGCCTCTGCAAGCCTCTCCAAGCCTCTCGGGACTTGCCATACAGGGTGATTTTCGGTGCAAGTAACTGGCGAATGGAGGCGAGAGATACCTTTTGGGCCGTTGACCAAAGCCCACCATGGCAAATAGGACCTAGGGGTCCTTTCACTAGGCCCCTACTACGTACCTAAGAGAAAGTATTAAACAAAACATTACTCTTAACATCACAATGTCCCTGTAAGTTGTGAGCCTCTGTTTGAATCCAATTTCCACTTAATTCTTTTGAATCTAAAAAACAATTGATCTGCATGTTAACTGGTTAAGTCATATCAATAGGTGGTATCCCCACTACTACCCATGAAAAGCGGGAGCACTCACAGATCAGGGATGCTCCCTGCTCGAATCTTCACAGGCATAGAAATAGACAGTGACGTTGCACTTAGAAGCTACCTACCTCCTTATTAACCCCAGAATTGTCGTCTCCCCTATATACAGCCAACGCCGCGAGGGAACTAGGATTCTGTCCGCTCTACTAGAGTGTTTTCTGCAACTTAAGAGTCGACTGTTAAGCTGTTATTCAATGGGGAACTACGCACTGTGATAATAGAATACTATGACTAGATGTAGTCTTTCTAAATATCGACCTAGCTGTATTAATCGGGGCCTATGAATAGCTACGGATTAGCACTACTTACTCCTCTACCACCCCACAGAACCCACGAACTCGAGCATTCTAATTATAAATAATAGGGGAATCTTTAACAAGCAACGAGGAAAACGTCTTTAGCATGCGGGGATAGTTCAGTTGGGAGAACGTCAGGTAAATTACCCTCCATCAATTTACTCGTCAACACTGTACTAATATATCATTCAAGACTGAAGTAACACTTCATCATTAATCTGAAGGCCGTGTGTTCGATCCACACTCACCGCATATATCTTTTGCGTTAGCAAGTGCATTTGTCTTTTTTTCCCTTCTATTGATAGTGTAGGAGACGGGCAGCGCCTGGGCCATATATACGTTGACATATTCCATACGAAGAATTAGAGCCAACGGTCTGAGATAATCGCTCCTTGTATCCCATTAACTTTCAAGCTCAGCCCGTCTTTAGACATTTAAACTTACTACAATGTGGGAAAATCAATAAATTATTAGTATATCTGACTACAATCTGCTTATTCTAAACCCTTACCTTTATGTGAACAAGTAATACTTTCACTGGATTAATTATCACTGCTTATTGTGCCCGACAATGGTATCTGGAATATTGACGATTGATATTTAAAAAACAAATTAAGTATTTTATGATTAATTACTCGACTACGAGAGCTAAGTACCTACATCATTATTTTAGTGTTTTTTTTTTAAATGTCGAAAAATTCTACTGGCTTAGGGTGATCACCCTCAGCTTGAACTCCGTCCCCAGGAAGACACGTCTGAAAAATAGTCAATATTTACTGGTCAAGGCGGTGGATACCAAGATAATCTCTGCTCAAAACACGTTGAAATTTCTCATTAGATTGTCTACATTTAAATCCTATCTAAAGAAACATCTTTATGCCCTCAGGTCAATTTATTACAACTATACGTATAATAGTATCTCATGATAGGTTGCGGTTAGGTTGCACCTAGGTCAAGGTATAGGGGTTAGGACTTAAGAGCATTGATTCATGAGTACTTGCCAAAATATCTACAGAAACCCTCTCATGCAATAATAAGAATAAATACCCCTATAGGCCTCCCCGAGTCTCTCTAACAACTGTATCGCCTGGTAACGACGTACATGGCTGTGGTATAACATTGACTGAACGGCTCTCTAATCCCCATTTTCTTGCAGCTTCAACGCTGTAGCCATGTTTTTTTCATTAGATGGCGCCTGAGATTGTCCTTTCTTCACAAAAACGTACTACCACCCGCAGCACATACACAGCCAGGTTCCGGGCAATAATACACCGTTGCGCTCATGTGTGTGTCTTGGACATGCCGGTCAAGATGCCTTTTAGGGGCAAATTTTTTATTACGCCCTACAAATGTGCACCCATGACAACCGGTCGTGATATCTCAGTTTGTGGACCCTGTCGAAGGACTGTCCACACTCCTGGTATATGAAAGGTGGTCCGCCGGCCTCCGAGATATTGAGCTCCTCGAATTCTCCTAGTTCCATTAGTGGCTCTAATTGCCCTGGGAGGTCTGGGATCATGAACTTTGTGTGTTTTGGCGCGAACGCCGTCCAATCCTAGCAAAAGCAAGAGTGGCCAAAACTCGGGCGATTGTGCCTGGCTGCGTGTCAGGTGATAAAGTAACCAGACCCTATAGCGTGGTTATATCTACAGATTTGGCTATATATAAGGGACCTTCGGTTCCCCCTATAGATCTAGAAGGTCAGGAATCAACTGATCTTTCTATTGAGCCCTATACTATACCCTTCTTCGTAGCTGGCACATCGCTTCTATTCACTCTCTAACGTTCTCCTCTGGCACTACGTCTTCTATTTTCAGCCTCAAGATTCTTGTACATCAAAAAGAGAGCATCCTCGTTAGCCTTGGCTGTCCCTATAATAGTGACCATCCGCTCGCCTGTGTCATTATTTGGCGCCTTGGCAATCGAAATGCGAGCACCAGAAGACTCGCGGATCTCGCCGATCGTGCTCCCGGCTCGGCCAATGATGCAGCCGAGCATGTCTTCGGGAACACCAATGCTCTGGGTTAGTATCTCCTCGCCATTTTCATCGTGTGTGGGTGGGCCACGGGCAGCAGCGTCAGAGTCAGAGTGTCCTGGTTCTGGGTCACCATCGCCGAGCTCGGACTCTCCGGAATTGCTCTCATCTTCACTTAGATATTCGTCTCTATTTGAACGATGAGCATTATTATCTGAGTCATCATTTTGGCTACCTTCCTCCTCGATTTCCTCTCCCTTGTTAGGAAGAGCAAACAAGGCCAATTCGGTTTGGTGTCGGCCGACATGGCGTCCATATTCTCGCTTAGAATATAATGTCTTTAGACAGAGTGGGCATTTGGTCTCCTTGGGCCAAGCCATAGGCCGCTCACACAAGTCAAATATCATGCCGAGATCCCTTTGCGATGACAGTTCTGGATGAGACTGCCGGATGTGGCTCTCAAGCTGGCTAGACGACGCGAAATCTGCTGCGTTGCAAGAATAAGGGCATCTGAAGGCCCGCCAGTGCTTCTGGCTCAGATGCTCTAACCATTCATGGCGCTTAGTGTATTGCTGCTCGGGAGTCGAACAGTCTAGTTCGAGACATATGTAGGGCCGTAGATCAGCGTACACGTGCTTCCTGTCAGGAATTATCAGCGATGTAATCCTCATTATTGTTTAGGGGGCTTCGAAGCGATTAAGACGTACTTCCACTGGATCGTAGTGCTAATTGAGATCATCATATAGCAAAATGGACACTCAAATGGCCCATAGTTTGCTTCACTTGGTAATGGCGGTATCTTGAGTCATCCCGATTCGGGGCCGGATGTTGCGTATGATGTTTGCGAAGCGCCTGAGTTTGACATTTCTTCTTCTTCTAACCGATTAGAAGATGGCCAGGTGTTTTTACTATCTTTCAGCGCAGTTGGGATAGACGATGCGACTGTGCTTTGAACCCCAGCTTCGGACCTTGTCGAATCAAGATCTAGTCCTGCATTTAGCTTCTGATGATGGGTCTCGCGATACTTAAAGTACTGCCGTCTTCGAGATATAGCTTTCCCTAGTCGATGCGCCAAGACAGGATCTACGTTTAACAGCTTCGTTTTGACATGTTCCACGTCATACTCCTCAAAATAGGATGTGTCAATGAACTTCGATGACATGAAATGATCATGTGGAGCTGGATTTCTAATCGAGACCGAAAGTCTCAATAAACACCCAACGATATCTCCGATTTCAGCCGCAATCTCGAGAATCTCTGCATCATTGTCGACTTCATCGATATCATCGAGCCCAGAAGGAGTTTCTAAAATTGGTGCATTATTTCGATGTCCTACAGGACCGGCTTCGGTAATGGGTTCCTTATTAAATATAGATTGAACTTAGAACTAATCAGCGCAAGCCTAGTTGAAGGGGATGAGAGCAAAGGATGTCCCCAAGTCGAAGGAATGCACATACTGTCCTGGAGAGCATTCTTCAAGTCTGTTAGTAGATTGACAACTAAATCTCTTAGGTGTGATGCATCTCGAAGACGCCATTCCAGTGAGCTACGGCCTGTCCTATGAGCACCTATATTCCCGGCCCAGAGCTTGAACCTTGCGAACTCATCGAGGATTTTATGACGCGCCGCTTCAGTTAACTCGTGGGACTCTGACGAAGCAGCTTGAAAATCTTGTAAACACCGTATGACATATTCAGAGACTAGAAGTGCCATGTGGAAGTTTGGCTAGTATACCTTGGTGAGCGGGTTATTGAGAAGGGTCATGTACTGGCGATGAGTTCATATCTTCTCAATGTTGAGCTACGATCCATGGTTGGAAATGACCCCAGTACAGAGTAGGTAACAGGGCCTTTCTCATGTAGGCGACCATCTAATGATCCACTCTAACGAGAAGGACACTTTCCATTGGCTTGCGTGTATGGTGAGCTGACTGTGGTAGCATCACGTTCTATTTTTAGTCTTCTATGCTGACCCGTTCGACTTCTTGTGTTGATTTCATACTCATCGCGCGACTCAATTCGTGCGCACCACCCTCGGCAAAGGGTGAGGCGCCTGCTAAACATGTCAGGAATTGAGGCTGTCGGCCTTGTCTTGGGCGTAATTCCTCTCATTATTTCTGCGCTTGAACACCATCAAGATGGCAAAGATGCCGTGTCCACATGGCGCCGACACGTAAGAGTTGTCCAAAGCCTCGTTCGGAATCTCAAGACAGAGCAAGGCAAGCTGTATAACACTTGTGAGACTCTGCTAGGTGGAATCGTATCTCCAACTAAGCTGGAGCCAATGCTCAATGAGCCTTTCGGACCCCTGTGGCAAGACGAGCATACCAAAGAACGAATTGAGAGAAGACTTGATCATATGTATAGCGCTTTTCAAGAAACTGTCAAGGACATGCTCGCTATCATGGAAGAGCTCAAATCAAATCTAGGATTGAATTCACAAGGACAGGTCTGTGATCATGAGCCGCATCGTACTGTTTTTGAATCGCATCAGCTGATACAACTTGTCGTCAATAGCCAGAATGGTATACCGGCGGAACTTTCAAGCGCAACATCATGAAGGCATCCCTTGTGATTAAGCGTTCGTCGTACGATGGGGCGCTGCAAGGCCTGATCTCCAAGAACCAGACCCTCGAGACAATAGTCGTGGGCAGCCTACGGCTTGAGCCTAGCCGTGGGAGGCGATCTCGGGGCAAATACCTAGAGCCGTTTAGAAGGATCGTCAGCAGTATCTACAAGGCCTTACAACTAGGCCTATGTGGGACCTGTCCGCAGAAGCATGGAATGAGTCTACAGCTTCTTACTCCGAGACTGAGCTTGCGCGGGGATGAAGAGAGCATTATTGGGAAACTAGACTTCCGCTTAATCCTATCACATGTTCACGCCCCAGGCCTTGCCAATCTCTACCCCCCGAGCTGGGCCTGGAAGGAGGTCAAGTTGCAAGTTGATATATCATCAGATAGCCAAAAAGGGGAGTTTTCTCTCGCTAGGCGCCCTTCAGTTGAACCGGCTGGCGGAAGACGAGCGCCCAAACGGGTGGGATTTTCTTTAGGAGGAAGCCCGCAAGCCATCAACCAACAAACGGTAGCACACAGGCTACAGGAAGCCAATAATCCCATACCGCTTACACCACTGGCACAACCGTTGCCAGAGGTAGTGACAAGCAAGCTATGCCAGGCCTTAAGCATAGACAACCTCGGGCTAAATGCTTGTGTATACGTGACGGACCCGTCCGTCCACGAGCATGGTCGATTTGGTGTTTCTCGCATCGACGACAT